CGCTGTAGCTTTCGGAGAGCGCTGATCTTCTGGGCGTCTTCAGACTCCTTTTTCAGTCTAAGAAAGAGAAAATAGTTAAATGTTATGTTCTTAAGGTACTTCATTATACAAAAGGGATCTTTAGCTTTAAGTCATTAGAATGCTGTTACCTCATCAAAAACACACCTGAGTTGTGTTTTGTTTCATTCACACATGTTGAGAAACCTGCATTACAGTCTACATCCCAAAGCTCAAAATGCCTGTTCACCTTTGATGTATGTAGTGGTAGTTTTCAGTTAGCAGTTAACCTTTTACTTTTAGGCTGTTTACACGAGAATACTTGCAGTAAAAAGGACAAAGTATTTATCTCAAGTGCTTTCCTAGACGGTGACATCATTTTGGGCTTAAAAATCAAAAATCTGATTCCCCCTCCAGAGTGGAAAAGTTGAAATGCTCACCGTAGAGTTTCGTCTACCTGCCAAGACGCAAACTCTGGTCAGATCTGCTCACGTTCACGATCTACTATACGCATTTACGTCATATACATCATCACTAGTGTCCACTAGCTGCCTGGCATGCATCCAATCGACGCACTCGATTTCCTCCCGTAAATGCTCGTCTAACGCGGATAAAAAATGAAGACGTGACGCCAACTTTCATCTTCTGTTCAGAGCCATCATCATATAAACGTCCTTAGTTCAAAGAGTTGGAATTCCAGGACTGAAATCATCCAAACTATTCTATGTATCATGGCTTCTGTATTATCCATGACATCACAACGTGGAACATTTTACTGTTTGAGAAAAGAACCCAGCCTAAATAAACAGGACTTGTGAATTAAGTAAAACACAACTCCAGGTATGTTTTGATGAGGAAACATTATAACATTGATCAAAAACAGCGTAATATGACATGTAATAATTAAGGAGCGCTGTTGGTTTTATGTAATTGCTTTGAAAGGAATGTCCCCTTGAGCATTAGGTCAAATGTGACTTGTAACGTGACCTGCTTTTCTCGATAGGTATAAGTAATCATGTATCATTTTTTATAAGTACTAGACCCAAAACCCACTGTATTTTAACAATATAAATTTTATAAATTTTTACCACCCCATCTGTATTAAATATAACAGGCCCAAAGATTGTTGTGATGTCATCTGAAACCCAGCAATACAAAGGAATAATGATAATACACATTTTCTATCACACAGGTGTCAAACATAAGGCCGGGGGCCGGATCCGGCCCTCCAAGACTTTAATGTGGCCCTCTGCTGATTTTCTACTAAAATATTTTAATTATATTTTCTTTTAAAATGTTGTTAATTTTCTGTGGTGTTTATCACAGCAGCGTCTCCAGCGTCTCTGTACGTGGCCCCTCCACCAGAGCAGCACAAATGAAGACTTGTCTCTTTCCAAATGCTCTTAAAGGACGATCGTTTTGAACTGTTGACGTGACATCCTCCTCAGAAAAATGTACAACATGAGAAAAGTGGAGCCAAGTGCAGGATTTTACAACAAAAAAAATTGACTTATTCCTATTTACATACAATTTAATGTTAAAACACTGTGTTGAAATTACATTTTTCTTAAAGTTTCAGGTTGTTCATAATATAAATATTTTGTAAAGAAAGAGTCATCAATTAAAAAAGATTTACTTTACTTTACTGCATTGTCTTTAAAAGACCTAAGAAGTTAAAGTATATAGAAGAATAATGAACTATTGGTAAAAAAGATTGTGTAATAGATTTGTGTTTTCTGCACAAATATTTGAACTTTTGTTATTTTGTAGGCTTGTACTCCTCTACTCTTTGTTCAAATAACATCTATCGAAAGGTTGGTATCTCAACTCATTGTCATTTTATATGAACTTAAATATGAAAAAAAAAATTGTTCATTTCCGTGGTGTACCATTTTTAGATAGAAAATGACTAAAACTTCACAGGGTTGGTACATGATAGTAAGGGACTATTTGGTAATTTTTTTCAATTTTTTTGTAGATCGAAGTGCTTGGGCCATGTGTTGAAATAACATGGAATGACCCAGAGGCAAAATATGTGACAGTATAATTAATTGTATTTAATTAATGGTCTACTAAAATGATATTTGAGTAGCCTTATATTCTATCTTACAAACCTAATGAATTCTTCTTGATCAGAGAATCCAGGAAACACCATTTACTGTAAGATAATACTGTGGCTGTCAACACATACACCTATAAATGAAAATGAAAAATGTAACCCTGTCAATCCCCTGTCTTTTTGCATTGTGCTGAATATTTTCTTTGGCAGCACACAGTTTAAAATTATGCTGACATGTTGCTTACCGGAAAATCAAAACTGGAGTTGCTTTCATTATTTGATTGATAATACTTGATAGTTTATTAGGTAACAAGATAGTTTTTTGTTTTTTTTAGCTACTAACTTAACCGTAAGAACATGTTTTATGTGCTGCACATTAAAAATTATAAAAATGTGCAGCCATTACACTTAAAAACAAAAAAAATTCAAGGAGATATTTTTAATCTACAGTTATTATGCAACATATATTTAAAGGCACACTATGTAACTTTTTGGTTCTGGGTCCATCGCCTGCTTGTTTCTATGGATATGTCATAGCTCTGCCTGGAATGTTCCACACTATGACATTAAACATATCTATCATATAATTTAAAAATTACAGGTGGTTTTAAAGCTCAAAAATATTCAGAATATCTATCCTACATCTTGGTCTGGTTTGGTCTTGGTGAAGATTGAAAGGTTTAATGCCATACTGTGAAACATTCTAGACAAAGCAGTAACATTCACAGAGAAAAACTGACAAGCCCTCCATGTGAAAAGTTGCACAATGCACCTTTAAAGCATCTTTATTCTTCTGCATTCACGGAACCAATGACACATCCACTCCCACTGCTATTCACTTCATTATTTTCCCTGAAGAATGTAAAACGTATCCATATATGATTCAACAGCATTGCGAAACTATAACTGGCAGTGTGGCACAAAGACGAGGGGGAAGAAGTTTTGAACTAGAAGAAGAAGTTAACTGTCCTTTTTCTGTTATTGAGTTGTTTTATATTGGTATAGTGTTTTAAGATGAATAAAAGGTGAAATAATATATGTGTGTTATAGATCTAGAACAGGGGTGTCAAACTCATTTTAGTCCGGGGGCCGTATCCAACCTACTGTGATCCCCAAGGGGCCGGATCAGAAAACTCATGTCATATAAACCCCAAAAATAACAATAAGTTCAAATATTTGTGCAGAGAAACACAAATCTATTACACAAATCTTTTTTAAGCCAATGATGTTCATTATGTCTTCTTATATATACTTTAACTTCTTAGGTTCTTTTTAAAGACAATGCAGTAAAGTAAAGTAAATCTTTTTTAATTGATGAACTCTTTCTTTTACAAAATATTATAATATTATGAACAACCTGAAACTTTAAGAAAAATGTAATTTCAACACAGTGTTTTAACATTAAATTGTATGTAAATAGGAATAAGTCAATTTTTTTTGTTGTAAAATCCTGCACTTGGCTCCACTTTTCTCATGTTGTACATTTTTCTGAGGAGGATGTCACGGTCAACAGTCAAAACGATCGTCCTTTAAGAGCATTTGGAAAGAGACAAGTCTTCATTTGTGCTGCTCTGGTGGGAGGGGCCACGTACAGAGACGCTGGAGACGCTGCTGTGATAAACACCACAGAAAATTACAACACATTTTAAAAGAAAATATAATTAAAATATTTTAGTAGAAAATCAGCAGAGGGCCACATTAAAGGTCTTGGAGGGCCGGATCCGGCCCCCGGGCCTTATGTTTGACACCTGTGTGATAGAAAATGTGTATTATCATTATTCCTTTGTATTGCTGGGTTTCAGATGACATCACAACAATCTTTGGGCCTGTTATATTTAATACAGATGGGGGTTGGTAAAATTTATATTGTTAAAATTTATATTGTTAAAATACAGTGGGTTTTTGGGTCTAGTCACTTATAAAAAATGATACATGATTACTTATACCTATCGAGAAAAGCAGGTCACGTTACAAGTCACATTTGACCTAATGCTCAAGGGACATTCCTTTCAAAGCAATTACATAAAACCACACAGCGCTCCTTAATTATTACATGTCATATTACGCTGTTTTATGATCAATGTTATAAGGTTTCCTCATCAAAAACATACCTGGAGTTGTGTTTTACTTAATTCACAAGTCCTGTTTATTTAGGCTGGGTTCTTTTCTCAAACAGTAAAAACTGTTCCACGTTGTGATGTCATGGGATAATACAGGAAGCCATGATACACTAGAATAGTTTGGATGATTTCAGTCCTGGAATTTCCAAACTCTGTTGAACTAAGGCTACGTTTATATGATGATGGCTCTGAACAGAAGACGCAAAAGTGGCGTCACGTCTTCATTTTTTATTCCGCGTTCAGACGAGCATTTACGGGAGGAAATCTGAGTGCGTCGATTGGGCATGCATGCCAGGCAGCTAGGTGGTGACACTAGGTGATGATGTATATGACGTAAATGCGTATAGTAGATCGTGAACGTGAGCAGATCTGACCAGAGTTTTGCGTCTTGGGCAGTGTAGACGGAAACTCTACGGTGGAGCATATTCAACTTTTCCACTCTGGAGGGTGGAATCAGATTTTTGCATTTTTAAGCCCCAAAAATGATGTCACCGTCTAAGCGAAAGGCACTTCAGATAAAATACTTTGTCCTTTTTACCTGCAAGTATTCTCGTGTAAACAGGCCCTAAAAGTAAAAGGTTAACTGCTAACTTGAAAACTACCACTACATGACATCACAAGGTGGAACAGAGCATTTTGAGCTTTGGAGATGTAGACTGTAATGCAGGATTTCTCAAACATGTGTGAATGAAACAAAACACAACTCCAGGTGTGTTTTTGATGAGGTAACAGCATTCTAACACGACTTAAAGCTCACAAGAATCCCTTTTGTATAATGAAGTACCTTTAAGAACACAAACATTTAACTATTTTCTCTTTCTTAGACTGAAAAAGGAGTCTGAAGACGCCCAGAAGATCAGCGCTCTCTCGAAAAGCTACAGCGCGGTGGGCAGCCTGAAGAGCCGATGGCAGAACTGGGCCTCGGAGCACACGGTCAACCAAAAACTCAACCCTTTCAGCGAATACTTTGACTACGACTACTCCATGTCTACGCGCCTGCAGAAGGGACAGGAGGGCTACGGGAGACCCAAAGAGGGGAGCAAGACTGCCGAACGGGCCAAACGCGCCGAGAAGCATATCCACAGGGAGATCGACGATATGTGTTTGATCATTCGGACGATGGCGGACCCTGATCCAGACGGGAGAACGCGAGTGACTTTCGGGGAGTTGTTTGAGCGATATGTTCGCATTTCGGATAAAGTTGTGGGGATTCTGATGAGGGCCAGGAAGCACGGGAAGCTGGAGTTTGAAGGGGAGATGTTATGGCAGGGTAGAGATGATGGGGTGGTGATTACTCTGCTGGTGTGATGGCCACCAAGTCTAGAACGAAAGCTTGTTGTATTTTTTTATACACAGGGCGGCAGTAGTTCGGCTGGTTGAGCGCTCGTTGGCGGTGCAGTTCCAGCTCCCAGTGATAAATTCTGTTGTTGTAACTGGGCAAGACACTAAACCCATCTGTGAATGCATTAGTGTTTCCTTGATATAAAGCGCTTTGAGTGCCTAAAGGAGGAAAAGCACATATAAAAATGTGTTTATTTATCAGTCTGGTCACCATGCCATCTAACCTGATTCATCAGCCGGTTTCACTTCGTGGAAACCGTCTGACCTCGCAGCATTAGGATTAGTTTGTTCGACAGAAGACGTGGATTGTTTTTTATTTAACCAATCATTGCTATTTGGTTGCAATAACATCTTTCCGCTTAATAAAATTCACCAAACATTTGCTTTGTTCCAGCTTTAAATCCTCAATCTTGGGAACACAAAATGTATGGCTTTGTCTACATCCATCTCGACCGCTTTGTTTAGTGTTGTGCTGTTCTCTGTGCCATGAAAGTTTATTTTCAGTGATGCATGTGTAACAAAGGTGCCTTTCAGGTGCCTCTTCAATTAAAATCGAGCTGTTCACTTCGCTCGTACCAAGGTCCCAACCACTGAAAAGAGTTTTATACAACCCTTTGGCTGTCCATGGATGTTTAAAGAATTAGTTATTTCTGTTTCAGTTGAAGCTACTCCCCCCTATGAGTAGTTCATTTGTTTACTCATTGCTGGTATAACAGTTAAATGCTTTGCTCATGGATCCTGCAGAACTCCACGTTTTTCAATCCCCTGTGATTTTTTTCCCTTTCTGTAAGCAGCCATATTTGTTTTGATATGGCCGGACCATGCTAATCCATCTGTCAATCACGTCCTTCTGAACTCGGGGACATTCATTGGTGGTCACTCACATAAACTATTTGAGAAGTGTGTATTTTGGATAGTAGGCAAACAGACTTCTGCTTCGTCAGTTCAACTGACATTAAACAAATGCTTTAATTCCTTTTTTTGAGGTTGGCTGTGGCATACACCTCATGGACTCAAACTTCAACACAGAAATATAACACAAACAGTTTTTAATACATGCTACTGGGTTTTGTGTTTGCAAAAAGCTCTTTAGTCTTTTGAACATGCTGGCTGGCAATAAATGAAAGTAGAATATTGTAAAGATTGTATTTTTCTATAGGTTTGATGAAACTGAAATACTTTTAATAATAAAAATAATAATAATAATAAGTTGGGGTTTTATTAACTGCCACCCAGTCTTTAGATTTCTGCTTCTTTAGGCATTCATCTTTCCACTCCTTTGTGTTATGGGTTCATCTTTTTTCAGCTATGGGCCGTAGACAGGGCACACAATGCCAGTCAGTCTAATGTATTGTTAACTGTGTGAAATATTTCATATCTCTTACTGAAAGCTGCAGTATTGCCAGTTACTGGACAGGTGATAATCAGGTTTGGTTACATTGCTTCCATCAGCGTGAATTACGCCGATGGAAAACACCTCTGAAAGTTTGTTGTATAACTATTAATGAGATTATTTAAAAAGAGAGGAGCACAGGACAACAGATTAGTGCAGTGGTTGAATGAAGTAACTCAGCACCAAAACAACAGCAAAAGGTATTGTTTAATATAATTTGTATTTTAGTTATTTATTTTTACTTTTTAAATGTATATTGAATTTTCTTATTTCTTCTTATTATTAATGCATTATTAATTCTTAATTTTATTCTTAAATTCTTATTTCCAGGATGCATTCCTTTATTCTTGTCGCCTTGCTCGCGGGCTCTGCTCTGCTGGCTTCAGCTGCTGGTAACATTTTTATTTAATTTTGTTTTTTTCTAAAACGTAAGTGGTTAGGACAGACTAGAATGAATGGGTGCTTTTCAAAAAGAATTCATAATGAATAGTGGTCAACTCTCAGTGACCTAAACACATCATTGAAGTTCACAGGCAGCAGGAGCCAGTTTGATGTCAGGGAAGGCTTTAATAAACCGTTTGAAATACTAACACTGTTTTGCTGTGTTTCAGTGATCCCACCTTTCTCCTACAGTGACTATGCAGGGTCAAATTCAGGCATCCACTTCACTCTTGATGGAGAACCAGATCAGCGCCTCACCTCCATCCGGATTTGGGACAACAATGGGGCATATATAAACGGGTCAGTATTCTCTTTGTTTTCTGTGTTTCACTGGTGCTCTCATCACATCAGTCCCTAGCCTATGCATGTTTGAATAATAATAATAATAATAATAATAATAATAATAATAATTATTATTATTATTATTATTATTATTATTATTATTATTATTATTATTATTATTATTTGAAAGCTTGCTCAGGGCTAAATCAGCTATGAGGCAACTAACTTTTTTGGACTATAAATTACTCCGGAGTATAAGTCACACCAGTTAAAAAATGCGCAATGAAGAAGAAAAAAACATATTAATCGTGCTTGGCTATAAGTCGCACTTTTTGGGGGAAATTTATTTTATAAAATCAGAAACCAGAAACTGACATTTCATCTTGAAAGACAAGTTATAGAATAGGGAACAACAGGCTGTTAACGTCACATATGAACAGTTCTTCTGATAACTATAACATAAACAACAAAACAGAACGAGTTTACCAAACTCTCCATCTCACTCCAAATCATTAAATCCATTGAATTCTTCATCCTCGGGGTCACTTATGAGAAACTCTTCGACCTCCGGAGGTAAACGGAGAGCCGCTTCCTCTTCTTCTATTGTCAGACTCAACATCAGTTCCAGTTACAATTATTCCGGTCTTTCTGAATCCCGACAGGATGGTTTCAGTTGTCTTCATGTTTGTTTAACATTTTAAATTGTCAGTGTTACAGCAGTAATTGTGCAATCGACTGATGTGATACCAGACAGGACAGCAGCTCTTTCTCTTTCTTCTGCAGCCAACATGCACAGTAGAGCCAAGTGACAGTGATACAAGAGTAATAGGAGCAGCAGATACTGGTATCAAACTGGCACAAACCTAGAGCGCCCTCCCGTGGCTGTCAGTGTGAAAATTTTAACATGTAAGTCATACGGGAGTATAAGTCACAGGACCACCCAAACCATGAAAAAAAAAGTGCCACTTATAGTCTGAAAAATATGGTACAAGAAATAACATTGTATTTAAAATGTGTTTCTGAAACTTTATAAACTTCTAAGTTACTAAGCAATTTTGCCAGGTTTTGGGGTTAAATTTATTTATTTATTTCTGATTTTAGTTTTTATGTCTTTGGACTAAAATGATCATTTTAGAGTTAATAGTATAGTTAATATTTGAATTTGTGGTTGAGCTCCACAGGGCACTGTAGGTGTAACAATGAACGGCAAACATTTGGGAATGACATTTTTTCAGAGTCTGAACTGTCATCTTCTTCGTCTCTTTTCAGAATACAGTTCAGCTTTGGTAAAATCTGGGGAGATCGGATTGGATATCCCAATGGCAGAATCCTGGAGATAGATTTGGACACTGATAACAATGAGGCCATTATCCAGATCTCAGGGAAGTACAGCCGCTATTTAAACTGGCTGGTGTTTGTGACCAACAAGGGGCGTTTCTTTTACGCTGGGACACCCTCAGGCATCAGCTTTAACATGTACCCAGGATATCCAGGGATGGAGCTCCGTGCCATCAGTGGGACCCTCCATGGAGCTTTGACTGGGATAGCTGTTCACTGGGCTATGCCCCCTCCCCCCTCCTCAGACAGTAACGAGCACTGAGCATGAGTTTAATGTATCTTAATGTTGTGTTATAATTATGCATGCACTGATCATCTGAATAGGACTCGTATTATGTGATTTTTCTTTCTGTAATCATGTTAGACTATTTTCTGATCTACATATGTTATGTTGTTTCCTGATCACGAACATATCTGGAGTTGTGTTTTTGTTTCTTTCACACATGTTTACCACACAAACTCTGCATATTTAGGCTGAGTTCTTCTCTGTTCCACCTTGTGATGTCATGTAATACAGGAAGTCTCCACTGTGTTTTTAAACTCCATACACCTTCAATAGAATCATTTGGGTAAGTTCAGCCCTGGAATTGCCCAGCTCTACTAAACAAAAAGTAAAAGGTAAATGTTAACTTGAAATCTACCACTACATGACATCACAAGATGGAATAAAAAAAAAACATTTTGAGGTTTCGAGATGCAGACAGACTAATAATAAAGGATTACTCAAACATGTAAATGACACAAAACACAAATCAAGGTGTGTTTTGGATGAGGTAACAGCATTGTAATTTGACTTAAAGCTTACAAGAGTTAATTTTGCATAACATAGAAACTGTATAATATAAATATAAACTCTATAATATTGCACGCATATTTTAGGAATCAGCTAAGGATTTTATTTGTTTTATTTGACTATTTTTGAGCCACATTAAGAAAGGCCAGAGCAGAAATCCAAACAGCAACTCTTTACATGCACACTGTCTCCTTCACAAAATGATTTCAACAATAAGAAATGATTTTTCAGTACTCACAATCGAAATGACAGAGAATTAACAAAATTACAGATTAAATTGAAAAGATTACAGAAGATGAAATAGGCTACACCATTGCAATACTTAGTAAATATTGACCCGTATACTCCCTGTAGCAGTTGTGAAATAGCTCGACCACATGTACAGTAAACAGATATTTCAGTTACTGTAACTTTATAGGGGGATTTTATTTCTGGTGGCCCAGGTGAAGCAGACCCCCATCACGACCATGAGGAGGGCGAGGACAGCCACACACACGATCACTCCCACCAGGGGGCGAGTGTAGTCTCCTTCTTCTTGTGATACTGAAAACCACAATCAGTATTTACTATGAGACAGTTTCACACTTTTATTGCTGAAGTTGCACAAACAGACCTTTATTCCCTGTTGGAGCGTTATCTGAAAAAATACAAATAAAAACTTTCAGAAACTGCATATGGTTTATCTTTATTTCCCTTCAATAGATTTTATTCCAGAAAGTGCTTAACCTCTTGAGACCCTGCGTCCTCATACGAGGACATCACATTTTTGTCTCTTAGCACCACGATACTCAATTTTTTAAAAACTCTGACCTGCCACACTGAGGGACACTGCCCGCAACATCATGTGGTGATATCACAACATTACACCAATTTCAGTGAAAGAAAAATGGTGGGAATATCAACAAAAATCTTCTACAGAAGCTCCCAACAGAAAAAAACAGCAAGGCAAAGTTTACATCCAAATGTTATGAATGAAACCAATGTATTTATGTACAATAATGTCTCTGTCTTCATATGGCATTAAAATTTGACCCATTTTAATAATCATAGCAGACTAGAGCATTGCTAAATGTCATGTCCTCGTTAGAGGACATCAGGACTATGTAATGTTATTGATTGTGCACAGTGGTGTTAGATAAACTTGGGAATATTTACATGAGTTTACTAGTGTTATAGTCAAGATCACACTAATCGAGACCAAGACCAGTCTGAGACCACAGAGTCCCAAGACTAGGACGAGAGCAAGAACTCTGAGGGTCGAGACAGAGAAAAGGCCGAGGCTTTTAAATTCTGAAACCGAGATAAGACCAAGACCACGCATCATCAAGACTGAGACAAGACCGAGTCCAAATATGCCCGTCCGAGACAAGACCGACACCATAAAACAAGTAATGTCGAGGCTGGCCTAAAGACTACAACACTAGAATTTACAGTTGCAAATAGTTCATTTAAGTGGTATATTTGCTTAAGTAAAGTTTTACTATATTTAAAAAGTTTATAGGTGTAAACAGGCATGTCAGAAGGTGAAGAAAACGATTTTTTAACCAATGTTGTCTTTTTTTGTCATACTCGAAGATTGACCCATTGTCCTTGGAGAAATTTAAAAAAATGCACACCAGCCAAAAGCTCGGGTCTCAAGAGGTTAAAAGAACTTCAATATTGATTTAATTGATAGTAATAAAATGCTTCTGTTGTGTTTTAAAAGCATTATCAATTGCAATCTGTCTAACTCTGTGCTGCTTTCAGTGGTCTGTGCAATTTCAAGTAGTTGGTGACATCACAAAAGACTGCCCTGGTTACAGATCGGTCTTTCTGATAACAAACACTAGCTGTAGGGGGCGGAGTTTGAAGTGCAGAGACCTGTTTGACTGATCCCACTGTTCCTCATACCTCCAGACCGTGCCCCTCCTTTCCCCTCACTTTTGTCTTTTTTAGTCCTCCAAATACTGGCCAGTTTGTAGCTCTATTTGAAATGTAGATGTGACCAGTTTAGGTGTTTAGTTCCTCTTTAAAAGGCTCATGTTGGGCTATTTAACATTAAGTCAACTTGGAGCATAATAAATAGAGTGATATCTTTATCCACACTACTTTGTAAAGAAAAATATTGATTGAGTTTTGTGAATATTTTGCTAATGTGAGGTCCATCCATGCAGGTAATCCTTCTAAAGAGTTTGATGAAGATACAATTATTGACAATGTGAGCAGTATTTTTCTGGACAAGGTGGGAAAAGATAAAATAACAAAATTGTTTAAAAAAATGTAGAAACAAAACATGCACTGACTGTGAGGTTTTGTGAGGACATGATGATTGTGACTGAGGCTGAGTTTTTCTCTCAAACTGAAAGCGCTCTGTTCAGCAGGTTGTTATACTGTACACTCACCAGCCGCAGTGCCCACGATAATGGCAGGAGACGTGATAGTAGTACTGTACGGCTCTGTGGCTTCTCTCCTCCTCCTGTTTGGTGCACCTCCACCTGCACCTCCACCTGCACCTGTACTAGCACCTCCACCGGCACCTGCACCTCCACCTGCACCTGTACTGGTACCGGCACCTGTACAGTTCTGTTCAGAGAGAGACAGATTCAATCAAATACAACATACTGTAATACAAACTATGCTATTTACACAGACAGACACATGTCCTTTGGCATTTTTCCCCCTTTTTTCCTCACACACAGCCATATTTATTTTGCCACAGACTGGGGACCAGACTCATCTTTGAAAAGTATTGGAGAGTGGTGAAAAGTAACAGTGGTGAAAAGTAACAAAGAAAAAGTAGTAAAGTGCTGTACTTTAGTATAAATGTTAGGTATCTATATTTTACTTAAGGGCATACTTTTTACTTTTACTTTACTACATTTGAGAGCAGGTATGTACACTTTCTACTCCACTAATGAAAATTAAAAGTATTTTTTATCATTTTTAATTTGAGACCTGCTGAAAAGAGAAGTTCATTTGAACAAATTTGTAGTTTGAGCAAACAAAAAATATTCAATTTTTTCTGTTGAACAAAATTCAGCACAAATCTGTATCAAAATTACAACATTTGAAGCTTTATAAGACCTCAAAATATACGTGAAATACTTTTATTTTTACTCTTTAAGTACATTTGTAACCCTCACGCTCACCTCGGGGTCATATTGACCCAAATAATTTTTTTTTTCCTTCCCGCTCTCCTGGGGCGGGTCAATCAGAACCAAAAATGTATTTTCAAATAAATTCTCACCAGAGAACATTTTTACATTTTTGGGTCTGATTGACCCGCCCCAAGAGAGAGGGAAGGAAAAAAAATCTTTGGGTCAATGTGACCCCGAGGAGAGGGCGAGGGTTTTAAACATGTACTTTAATACTTTTAGTTAAGTAGATTTTTTAATGCACTACTTTTACTTTACAAAATTGAACACTTCTTCCATCACTGATTCTAGACCCCAGTCTCTGTCAAATACAGATTATTTCATATTTAAAACAGAGGCCGGCCAAATAGTTGTATCAGATACTGGCTGTGAAAGCATAAATGACACAGTCCGTATATTAAAGTGAGCTGTTGGACTCACCGGGAGCTTGCTGGGAACACTCGTCTTTCTGGCACAGGCCGGTGAAGCAGTGCAGGAAAAACGTGGACACTGCTCGACCCTGATGCTCCACAAAACGAAACGCCTGAAACATGAACCGCGCCTTGTCTGAGACGCCATTTTCCCCCAATTTTGTGTAAGCCTCCACGTCACAGCTAGAGAAAAAGAAGAATGGAGGATCTGTATATAAAAGGTACACTGTGTAACTTTTCGGGGGAGTATCTGCAGCCTGCTTATCTCCACGTGGACCCCGACCAATACTTACTTTATAACTTCTGACCCTGCAATGCAATCCGATCCAATTGAGTTTGAAACTTTCTCCCTTTCTAACTTTCTAAATATTATCATGTGCATGTGGAATTATGTCTGTAAATATCAACTCTTTAGCATTCATCACCAATGATGTCAAAATGAAGAAGCATTAATCACCAAAATGTAGTTATTTTAAATCCAGTTATAGGATGAGCAACTGACAAACCGCTAATAGAATAAAAATAGAAAAAATAGCAATATATACTTACATTACATAATAATATATATGATGTATTATGTAATATGTATATTACATACAACACACAGATTTCCAACACACATTAATGTAGACAATCATAAATGCTGACCTAACCCTAACAGATGGATTGTGCTGCTTTTTTTGTGTTAAATCAATAATAGTATTGTTTTATTAATGATTAATAAAACTGTTACTTTCTAACAGGAGTTAGAAATTAGTTAGAGCACATAAGGGGCTCCAGTACCTGTCTAAATCTAAAGTACAGGAAAATGAGCAGTTAAAACAAGAGCTGGCCAACTCCAATGAAGTCATGGGAAAGGTGAACGAAAAAGATTTGGAGTTGCAAAAACTCAACAATATTCTTCTGGAGAAGGACAAACAACTTCAAAAAGAAGTTAGCGCACATAAGAGGCTCCATGACCTGCATACTTGCAACTAAAACAAGAGCTTGCCATCCCCAATGAAGTCACAGAAAAGTCTAATAAAAAAGACTTGGAGTTGCAAAAACTTACTGCTACTCTCCAGAAGAAAAGCACCTACAAGTCCGAGAGAACACAATTAAGCAGATCCGCTACCTGTATAATGCTAAAGTACAGGAGCATGTGCAACTAAGGCAAGAGTTTGCCAACTCCAAAAGAGTCAGGGAAAAGATGAACGAAAAAGACCTGGAGCTGAAAGAGCACAAAGCTAACCTCCTGAAAAAAGAGAAAGTGCTGGAAAACCAAGTTAGTACGTACAAAGAAATAAGATATCTGTACATCAAGACAGTGGCAGACACTGTCCAGCTCAAACAAGAGCTGGTCAACACCAGGAAAGCCAAAGAGAAGTTGAAAGAAAAACTTATAGAACCTACAGTGGAGACTCAGACCATTTGTAATGATGTTGGTAGAGATCAAACCATCAAGGAAAATGAAAAACTGTCCAGGAAGGTGCAGGAGCTGACTTCTGAACCCTTTTCAACACGAGAGGAGCTGCATTTCCTGAAGCTTCATCGTGAACGTGAAAGAGCACAAAGATTCAGCCGCCCAAAAGGAGCGGCCGTAGTGGAGCAGCAGAGGAGGGGGTCCAGGCGTCAACAGCGCTAAAGCACCTCCAAACATGACCCTTTACATGCATTAATAAAAATAATGACTAAAAAATATTTTAAATGCATGCTTTGGCCTTTATTTAGTACTTCTCTATGTGAAAAGAAATTAGTTTTTTGATGCCTAGATATGAAAATAGTAGATTTTAGTCACAATCTTCTTATTGTGTTCTCCTTTAACCCAGTTTGGTCTTAGTATAAGTTTTAATTTTGCTCAACTTATTGAATCACTGAGTTTGCGATACAACTTATAGTTATCAAATATCTTTATCTCATATCATGCGGCTCTTCTTAAATGTATCAGACTACAAATTGCTTTCAGGTTTACTCTATGTGCGGCTGCATGATAGTTTGGTGGTCATACATGTCATTAAAGGTTCTGTATTACGCAACATTGTCTTGAATTGTGAGCTTTACGTCACGACTCTTTAAGTTTGATCTTTTTATATGCACGTAACAAAACCATCCACAGTGTCCTCGAGCCACACACACAGACTTACCCCACAAAAAGGTTATATCCAGCTGTAGCTTCGGTGTATGGCTCCATTGTAGCGATGCACCACCAGAGCAGCACATTAAAACTTAAGCAGGTCAAATGCATTTTAACATTTTAGTGTCACGATTTATACAGTAAATATACAGCAGTGTAAGGCATCCAAACCTGTCTGTTAGACTCGTAGCACTGATTTCAGCATAGATGTTTGTTTTTAGGGGAAGTCCTGTCTCCGGAATTATAAGGGATTCATTGTAAAACTCATTCTGTAACAACAAGAAAGAAACTGTCATTTTTGTATTGTTCAAAGAGGCGTTATGTAAGTTTAGTGGTGGCGTGGTGAAATTAAAACTAGAATTAACAGTGTCTACTAAACAAAAGGTAAAAGATAGCTGTTTTTTTTTTTGTGTAATACAGTATATACTAGCCTACATTACATTCAAGGCAACACAATAGAGGATTGATATCATTTTATCTGAAAAGTTTCCTCAACTTTCTAACTGAGCAGTGGCCCTGGGGCAGATCTGTGGGCAGCACAGCAGACAAAATGTGTTTTTTTGCTTTTTATTGCTTCATTTTTGTCCGTGGAGCTTTTGTTTTTACGCCACAATAATTATTTAGTCCACACACAGATTCGAAACATCTTATTTAAATGGACAGTCCAGGATTTTGGACACAGGACCTCATTTCCTAGTGAGCCAGAGTGTTGGAGATGTGTGGGGACATTTTTTAAAATATTCCATCCAGTCCTTGTATTTGCAGAGGTCGCTGGTGCTAGGCTAGTGCATGTCAATGGCCATAGTTAGCCTGCCACGAAAAACAGTTTTACCCACTCCACAAAACACCCGAAGTAAATCTGTTATTACACCAGCCTATTGATGTAAATGTCTGTGTTGACAGTATAATGTTTCAAATAAAACTAACCTCGCATTGCATGAATCATTGCATGTTGAGGGACTATTTTCTCATATATCAGTCCGCCACTGTCAAGCTTTCTATCAAGAGGTACAACTTGCTGCTGCTCAGACATAAATCCTGCAAATGCAAGGTTAGTTTTATTTCTAAAATTATCTATCAACACAGACTTGTTAATGTGTGTTCTGAAATGTAAAAGTGTTTTGCAAGTGTTGGCAACCGTATTTTACAGAAGAAAGATGCTGCATAACCTCTAATCCACTGTGACAAGCAGGTGACTGGCCATCCACCGGGAAAAATTACATATTGCACCTTTAAATTCTTGGTGCATTTTAACAGAACGGAAGTGAAAGTCCAGTGTGGTCTTACACTGTAAAGCTTGAACTTCAGAGAGGTGATGAAGCTGCCATTGTTTCCATTCACGGCCACCTGCGCTCCACCTCTGGAAAACACCTACTGTTACATTTCAAATACTACGTGAACAAAGTACACACAAGAGCTACTGCAGAAATTATTCAACCTAAAGAGATTACGAAATATGAATAATGTAAGATGGTTTAAAAGCATGTCTATAATTTTGATTACACAAATAAACAGTAATAAAAGCTAAAGTTGGATATAGCATTCACAGTACTATTGTCACAAAAAGTATGACTAATATAAGGAATATACAAAAATACATTAAAGAGCCATATCACGCTATTTTCTGATCTACTTTATAATGTTGGTTCCTCATCAAAAACATACCCGGAGTTGTGTTTTGTTTCATTTAAACATCTTAAACACATAAACCCTGCATATTTAGGCTGAATTCTTCTGTCAAACTGAAAACACTCAGTGATACAGCAAGTGCTTTGCTGTGTTTTTAAACTTCATACATCTTCACTAGAATCATTTGATTAATTTAAGATGTGGAATCGCCAATCTTTACTGAACTAAATGCAGGCCTGTTGACAGAAATTTGGGAGCCTGGGCAAGAAGACCCACATGAGCCCCTCTCTAAAATACACTAGCAGTCAAGAGTTTTAGAACACCCTCATCTTTATAGTTATTTTATTTATCTATTTAATAGGGACAGTGCATATTAATGAACATCTACAACACTGCAGATTAAATATGACAGATTATAGCAAGAATGCTAATTTCCATCTGTAGTCCCTAGGCAGGTAACACCACAAAGTTAACAGAAAAAACAAAAACAAGAGACAGATATACACTAAAAGTGTCCACAAGTCTGGTTTTCCTTTAGCCACTGTTTCAAGTAGGACTTACAAGTGGCAAGTGTTGGAGTCTCTCTTATCGATAGTGGCAGACTGTTCAAAAATTTAGTGCCTCTGACTGAGAGCACACATTGCCCGAATGTGGTGCGTCTGTGTGAGACCTCACAGTGCCCCCGGGCTGTGGCCCTAGTCCCCATCCCACTGACAGTCTGTACTTTAATCAAATCCTGTAACGGAGGATTTATTGCAATTGAAGTTGTGCAAGTCCAATGAAGAGCTTGAAATGGTACAAAGGTAAGAACTGAACAGCCCGAGGTTAAAAAAAAAAAAAAAAGATAAAAGATACAAAACACAAGTCCAAGCTCTGCCAAAACTACCTCAGAAAAAAAGAACAAGATGGTAAAGCTTGAAAACATGAAGTGTCCAGCAGCACAGTCTCCACATTTAAACCCCATCGAGCTGGTTTGGGATGAACTGGACAGAAGAGTGAAAGCCAAGCAACCTACAAGTGCCACACATTTATGGAACTTCTGCAACAGACTTGGGAAGAACTTTCTGAAGAATATTTGATTTCTATTGTTAAAAAAACAAGCCATGAATGTTCACCTGTTATATCTGCCAAAGGTGGAAACTAGTGTGAATCAAAAGTTTAGAATACATTTTGGTCAACGGTTAATAGCAAAAAACTGGAAAAGGTGTGTTGTTCTAAAATTTTTGACTGGTAGTGTAAATTCATAGGAAGAGGGTCCAATTCTGGGCGCCTAAAACCCTGAGGCCTGAGACAACAGAACACTTTATCACCCCCTCACTTCATAACATCACAAAGTGGAACAGAGTATTTTGAGCTTTGCAGATGCAGACAGACTAATAAAGAGTTACTCCAGGTATGTTTTTGAGGAGATAACAACATTCTAACCTGGCTTAAAGCTCACAAGAGTCAATTTTGTGTAATATAGGACCTTTAAGCAAATAATAAAAACACAAATTAATAGCTAAAAACACAACCAGAATTCACTTTTATGTAGTGTAATTACAGCCTATACTCACACATTTAGCTGATTGTTGTTCATGACGTATTGCAGAGGGTAGGTGCAGGAGAACATGTAGGTGACCATGGGCCTGTAGGTGATCAGACTTGTGGTGGAGTCAAAGGTCACCACCATGCCCGAGATCGTCACAGTCTGAACATTTGAGAAATCTGAAAAGTCTCCAGTCCCCACTTCATTGATAATCTGGGAAAATCACAAAGCCGTAATTACTTCTGGAAGGAATTATTAGATTAGGAAATACTAGATTTTTTTATTTTTTTTTACTGTCAAACTCTAGATAGATCTGGTTTACGGTTGGTGCGCTAACTTTTCTGCTACTCTCTGTGGACCTTTTATTGTTTTGATTGGTCTGTATGGTATTAATGGATCTATTTCCATGGAGACAAGCAAGTAAAGCTATCAGGCTAAGTTACAGGTCAGATCGGCGGAGCGGGCACCACGCATTTATTTATTTTTGAGCAATTCAAAACACCACAACAAGATTTGAAAGACTAATTCCATACTGTGAAACATTCCAGGCTTCATCAGAAAAGCTTCACAGTGCACCTCAGTCAGTTAAATACTTTATGCCAAAAGATAACGTTGAACCAATCTCACATAAAACTAAAATAAATAAAAAAAATAGGCCTATAAGGTTCAACATGTAGATTTTGTGTTATTTTGGTATTGGTTTTAAATAAGAAATATCAATTGGCCTCCATCTGAGATCATTACATCCAGTTACTACTTTGCGGTGGCAGCACAAGGTTTTGAGATATTCTGAAAACTTAAGAACGCAAAATGGATCTGAACAGCACATTTTCAGGAGCTTGTGATGAATACGAGCGTTCATGATCCTGTTTCGGTGTTTGATTTTAAATAAAAAGGTGAAAATCTGATGCCTGTAACGTTATGTGCAAGGGACTTGTTTAACATCAAACATCAGATCTCCTGTTGTAGTTCCAGCTAAATCAGTTCTTTCAGGTCAGATTGTGTTAAAACAACGCTCAAATTAAAGTCTAATAAAGCCTCAGACAGAGCAGTGCTTACGGCTACCATCACCTAGGTTAGTGTTTCCTTTTTTTCTGGGGACCCATATTTTAAAAATCACACACCTTCATGTCCCAAGTCAATAGACCTTATTCCTAAATCACAAACTAAAGGTGAATTTGACCATTATTGAACATTAATGAGGATGTTTTATTGCTGACTGAGTGATCATGTCTCTCTGAACAATTAGTATTACTGAAGTTTTAAACAATGAAAAACAGTAATTGAAGCAGCAATGAAAGGATCCATAAGTCACCTATTTGGACATTAAATGTAGCCCATTTCTTTTTCTTTTCAACATTCAATTGAACCAGCAATACTGGGACAAAATAGTCAATCAAATAAGTACAAAAAGATTAGAAATTACACAAAACATGTCTTAACATTTGAACATTTCTAATGAGATAGGTGGGCCTGTCTGTGTTTTTGTAGCAGCAGATCAGGTGCAGTATTCAGTCTGTTTCTGTGCTTTGTTTTCATTTTTGCGAGCACAGAATTCACACATATATGTAGTAGTGAAAGGAATAAGCAAAGAAATACTGGCCCCACTGAGGACAGGATATTCTGACGAAATGCTGATCCAGAGGTTAAGCTGAGTTAAGGTTAAATTAAGAGGATGAGGTCACAGATCCATGTACCCATTGTATATTGCACATCAACATGCAGATCGTGACAAGGTGCCCCAAAAACCTAGTCTTTGGGAACCAATGACCTAGAGTGACCAGATGTCCCTATTTACCCAAGACAGTCCCAGTTTTGATCCCTGCGTCCCCTGTCCCAGTGGATTTATAGAAAAAAAGGTACTTGTCCCAGGCGTTCTCATTTCTGACCAGTTTGATCTAAACCAGGTCTAAATCAGGATAAAACTAAGACTAAACCCGGACCATATCAGGTCTAAACCAGGACTATCCCAATTTTTGACTAATCAGATCCACACCAACAGTATAGTGGAGCATAAATTGTGATTTGTTGAGCCAAAATACACAAAAAACACATTTGCACATGACAATAAAGCAAAAAAAATAAATAAAAAATGCAGCAACTATGACTGACACGAGAATCCACAATGTTACACGCTCTTTTCACTCTTCGATTTATACCAACCATCCCAACCCGGGTGTGTCCCAGTTTAGAATTTTGAAAATCTAGTCACCCTACCATCACATCAAGTATCAGTATAATATCATACTATTACAAATACTACAAATACCTCTATTTTGTTGCCACAGGCCAAGACAGACTGTTCATCGATGGAGAACCTGTATCTTATCACGGGGGGCTGTACACTGAAGTCTGTGGTCCCTCGGCACTCGGCTCTGCTCTGGTTGTTCAGGATCAGCAGAGACTCGTTGTAGTTGGCAAAGTAGAGAGGACAAAGTAAGATACTCAGATCCAGAAACTGAGTCCCACAGGTCACCGTGATGTCTGTGTCCTCTGGAAAATCAAATCAAAAACATACAAAAGAACTTGAACAACTGAAATATTAAAGGACTATTTTCTGATCTAGGTTATAATCTTGTTTTTTGTTTCTTGTTTCCATGGAGTAGTGTTTTGTTTCATTCACACAGGTCTCAAGTTTGAGTAATATGACCTTTATGTATAATTTTTCCAGCAACACTTGTATTTGTAATTGACTACATTATTAGCGAATTGACCGTACTTTTACTTGAGTACAAATTTGGCGATAAACATGTACTTATACTGTACCTGGGGGTCTGTTGTTCGGAGAATTCTCACATTCCGGAGGCACCGAATCAACTCGAGTTATCACGATGAGTAAAACTTGACAGATGAAGACGAGAGACTTCATAGTTCCCTTGAACCTGTGAAGAAAGAAAGTCAGAATATACTGAATTTAGGTCAATGTTGTTGTCTAAAAGAAGAATTTAATAAGAGAGAAACCTCACCAGGGAGTTGCCATTTTGGGTAAAGTGAGGACACAGCCTCTGGGTTTTTATACAGCGCTGGAGACAGGAGGGGCAGGACACATGGTACTTCTGTGTAACTAGAGATACTCTTACACTGTACTGTACTGAGATACTGTTGTGTGGATATATGTGATGGTGTTTTTAACTTGAAATACTGTTGTGTAGTTATGTGATTAGGGCTGGGTATCATTAAGAAGTTGTCGATACGATACATACCTCGATACATAGGCCACGACACAATACATATCTCAATACAGTGCACTTTCGGTTCGATATGATATATTTCAAAACTATTCGATATGGTTCGAGAAAAAATAAAGGCTAAATTGTGTCTGTGATACTAAAAGTCTTTGTTAAACCACTTCTTGTGCAAAGTTCATTTGAAACACAAACATTTTAATCATCAAAACAGTGAAAATGTCAAATGTGTCGCATAGACAAGTTTCTTTCCACTAAACAAGCAGCAAAACTGTAGCACTGCAACAAAATAATTTAGTAAAATATACCAAAAACTATGCTTGGCGATATCGATGCAGCAGTCCCCAATATCGATACTGGATCATCACATTAAACAATATGATATATCGATATCACAATTTTTCTTCCAGTGGTATCTGGGTAAATCAGTGACTTCCCCTGCAGACGCTGAACTAAAGAAACACCTACAGGGCGAAGGTCTATGCAGTTCAAGTCAATGTGGGGATGAGTTTGAGTTTGACAGTTGTTTTAGCCAATCTTATTTCATCGAACTATGGGTGGGGTCATATCACGACATCTTCCGGGCCTTCGCGAATACCTGTAATAGCAAATATGAGCAAGACCGCAGCAACGAAAAATGCACTGGACTCCTCCATTTGGACACCTGAGGGGCGTCTGGAAGAAGGAGAAGAAAGAGAAAGACCCGTGAACCGGAGCTTGGAGCCCGCGGCCGGGGCCGGAGTTCAGAGTCCGCGGAGGCTTGGACACGTTGCATCTCACGGGGTCAGAAAATAAAGAAAAAAGTGTAAAGAAAAGTAAAGCCAGTGAGCAACAGACTACGATAATGGCGTTAAAATAATTGTCTGCAATAATGAATTAATTAGTTCATGTAAAATAAAGCTTTAACATGCCCAGCCCTAGTTTTTAACTAGTTTCTCGTGTGTGATGTGTTTTTAACTTGAGAGACTTACACAAGAACGCTTGCAGGTAAAAACGTCAAAATATTTTAGCGGAAGTGCCTTTCATTTAGACGGTGACAACGTTTTGGGGGCTTAAAAATGCAAAAATCTGCAGAGTGGAAAAGTTGAATACGCTCCGCCGTAGCGTTTCCGTCTACACTGCCCAAGATGCAAAACTCTGGTGAGATCTGCTTACGTCGTGTACGTGTTTACGTCACATACATTACCACCTAGTGTCACCACCACCACCGCCTGGCATGCATACCCAATCGAATTCCACACACTTTTGCGTCACTGTATGCACTCAGATTTCCTCCCGAAAACACTTGTCTAAATGCGGAATAAAAAGTGAAGACGCGATGCCACTTTTGAGTCTTCTGTTCAGACCGTCTTCATATAAACGTAGCCCTATACATGATGATGTATTTAACTAGAGATACTGTATGTGATGTGTTTTTAACTAGAGATACTGGTGTCTGTATTGTGTGTTTTAACTAGAGATACTGTTGTGTGTCTGTATGTGATGTGTTTTTAACTAGAGATACTGTTGTGTGTCTGTATGTGATGTGTTTTTAACTAGAGATACTGTTGTGTGTCTGTATGTGATGTGTTTTTAACTAGAGATACTGTTGTGTGTCTGTATGTGATGTGTTTTAACTAGAGATACTGTTGTGTGTCTGTATGTGATGTGTTTTAACTAGAGATACTGTGTGTGTCTGTATGTGATGTGTTTTAACTAGAGTACTGTTGTGTGTCTGTATGTGTGTGTTTTAACTAGAGATACTGTTGTGTGTCTGTATGTGATGTGTTTTAACTAGAGATACTGTTGTGTGTCTGTATGTGATGTGTTTTTAACTAGAGATACTGTTGTGTGTCTGTATGTGATGTGTTTTTAACTAGAGATACTGTTGTGTGTCTGTATGTGATGTGTTTTTAACTAGAGATACTGTTGTGTGTCTGTATGCCATGGTGTTTTTGTGCTGCAGCTCGTCTTTTAACTGGCACTAACGCAAGAGCACATCACCCAAATGATTAAATCTTTCCACTTGCTCCTGGTTTCTTTTCTCATTTAAAAATGAGTTCATGTGTTTTTAAATGTCTTCACAGCCAGTATCTGTCCAACCTACTGCAGCGCTACACTTTCTAGTTGAGTGATCAAACTTGTGGTCCTTGAAACAAAGAGAAAAACAGAGGCTGGTTCAAAACTCCCTCTGCACTCCATCCAGGCACTTTCAGATTTAAAAGTGGACCTATTATGCTAAATCAACTTTTCAGAGCTTCTAACCACGCTATTGTTGTTTCCCCTCGCCATTTACTCACGCAAAGTTGTATTTAGAATGATTTTTAGTCAATCTTTAACTATTTTTTGCCGATCAATTTCCATTTTCAACAGCAGTGGCACCAAACACTACTAGTTTAATCTCCGTCTCCATCTGAATACACCTTCGATGCATATCTGCAGATTAGGCTAGCATCACACGTCCCTTTGTTGTGATGACATTTACTTTTGTTGTTTTTAAACGGGTCATTATTTTACATTGTCTTGGTGCTCACAAAGTTATACTCAACAATAACAATAACCCCCTCACGTCAGGTCAGACACCTTCACATGATACTTGATCACTGTCTCATTCAGATCCCACATTAACAACATCACCTGATCCTGCTACGTTCATCTGAGTAACACCTCGTCTCCACCCATCCTGCACTCTGAACAACAAGTATGACTAATGGAGCTCAGTCCCAAACAAAACATATAAGCTTCAACTTGTAGATTTGATGTTATTTTTTGAGAAGAACTGGATTAAATTCCACACTCCTCAAAACACTCCAAACCTGGTTTACTCACTTTGTACAAATCTCAGATGCATAAATCATTTACTGCTCATATCACCCCAGACCCGTATCAGCTCTATAGACGCATCAAGAATCTCGGACTTCCGGTCATTGCTCAATGCATACTGGGAAGGATTTTCCGAAAAAGTGAGCATCAAACCACCATGTTTGTTTTCCCAATGGGATGCATCTATTGACAAAGCAAATCTTTTCAAATATTTAGAGCCATATCGCTTTTGTTTCTGGTTCTGATATTGTCATATTTTAGTTTTGGGATTCGGACATTGTTAATTGTGTGGTTGTTGGATCCTAACAGCGGAAAACGACTCAAGAAATGTGTTTGCGAACTCCATAGATGCAAAAGGGAATCAGATGTGTGTGACTGCAAACCTCTGTTCAAACTGTTTCCCTTCCCAGCGGAATTGAAAAATAGTGAAAGGCGAAGGCGATGGGTAGTATTGATCCATGGGACGGACGAAAAAGTTCAGCTCTGACTGCCTAAATCATCCCGAGTTTGCAGCGAACATTTTGTATGTGGAGCGACATCAAAGCAAAACCCTGATCCCTCACTCAGCCTTGGTTAAGAATTTAAAAAGTCAATGCCAACGCGAAAGGCACCAGCTGTTCACCAAGAAACACCTTCCACCTGCAAAGAGACCAAGACCTAATGTTGCTGTAAAACTACAAGAACAAGAAAATGCGAGCTCAGCCTGTTTGTCTTCTGCACCTCTCGCTTAACAAACGGGATCCCGCTTTGATGTCGCTCCACATACAAAATTTTCGCTGCAAACCCGGGATGATTTAGGCAGTCAAAGGTTAACTTTTTCGTCCTTCCCGTGGATCAGTACTGCCCATCACCTTCGCCTTTCACTATTTTTCAATTCTGTTTGGAAGGGAAACAGTTTGAACCGAGATTTGTAGTCACACACATCTGATTCCCTTTTGCATTTATGGAGTTCGCAAACACATTTCTCGAGCCGTTTTCTGCTGTTAGGATCCAACAACCACACAATTACAATGTCCATATCCCAAAACTAAAATATGACAATATCAGAACCAGAAACAAAATATGGTTCAAAAGACCTGAAAAGACTGGCTTTGTCAATAGACGCATCCCAGTAGGAAAACAAACATTGCTGTTTGATGCTCACTTTTTCAGAAAATCCTTCCCAGTATGCATTGTGCAATGACTGGAAGTCCCAGATTCTTGATGCGTCGATTGGCTGCCTTCACTTTAAGACTCTTTAGATCACATACAAAGCTCTACATAACCCTGGTCCAGTTTGCCTCTGTGATTTTCTCAGATTCTACAATTCTTCTCAGCAGCTCTGCTCCTCTGGAATTTGTAACTTTATCTTTTAACAGTTTCATATGATACATTTTACTGTATTTAAGGCACCTCATATAAAAGATTAAAATGTGAATTATTATTATTAACATCTAAAGGTTATTAAGGTGGGTAGAGTAGCCAAACATTATGCTTCAGTTAGAGTAACTTTACTTCAAAATTATACTACCGATACTCAAGTAGAAGTACAAAGTATTGGTCCAAAATGAGGGAACTATAATTTAAGTAAGAGTAAATATCAGGACATATCAGTTTTATAATTTGAAGTAAATATAATTGGAAGAACAAAACATAATGTTATGCAGAACATTTTCAAAGAATAGAAGAATATTTAGAAAATCTAAATCATATCTGAAGGAGCAATGAAGAAAGAGAAATGTTCAAATCATTTAATATTGAAACGTTGTGTCCCTTGTAGACGTGCTTATACTGGACTAACCACAACTTTTACTCAAGTAAGAGTAAAAGTATGGGGTCTGAAAACTCTGAGAAGAACAATTTCTTCAAAAAGTTAAGCACTATAACTGGGTAAAAGTAACTGAGTATTGTGCAACTCTGACAGATGGTACACTTGAGATTCAAGTAGACAAATTTACACTATAAAATTTGGGATTTTTTAATTCTTAATTTTAAGGTTCCACTGTTTTTTTTT